ACCACGCCCCCTAGCACACTCACCAGCCACCAGGTCCCCAGCACACCCAGCAGCCCCCTAGCAACCCGCCATGCCCCCCAGCATATCCACCATGCCTGCCAACACCACGACATCACACACTGACCACTACAGGGCAGGGCAGTGTCTCTGAGGTAGAGTCTGCCCAGCACTAAAAAATCCAAGTGGTAAGAAGTGATGAAATACTTGGGCTGGGGATTTAGCCCAGTGTGCAGCACCTGCCTGGCAAGCAGGTGCTTGTTGAGGTCCTAAGTTTGATTCCCAGTTACCTGCCCCCTGTAATAAAAGAAATACTTGATTTTAGGAAGCATGAGCTCATCTTGAGGCAAAAGACCCAATAAAGCTGAATGAACGCCTGTGCCTGGTCTCTCTGCTGTTGAAACCCAAATTCAGTTTGTTCTTTATGGTTCTAGGAAAAGTATTAGAGAATCATAAGTAAAACTAGAAAATAATTCATAATGTGATTTTCTTTTTGTTATTGCTTTTTGTTTTTTCAACTAGAGACTGAAATGAAGGCCTCCGTACTGAGCTACACTGCCTGCAGCCCCAGAACGAGGGAGGGGCTGAGGGCTTCAGAGGCAGGCCTCCTCTCCAGGGAACCCCGACCCTCCCACCAGAACAGTGCTATGCTGGCACCTCTCACCAGGTCTGTCAAGTGCTCGACATGCAAGCTAGACCCTGTGGGCAGGTCCTGCCCTCCCACAGCCCCTGCTGGCACTGTTCTCTTGAACCTGAGGCCGTGGGAGCTGCAGGGGGCTTGTATCACTCCCAGGAACGGGAAGCCCACCCACCCAACCTCCACCCTGAGGTCAAGCCCAAGGTCCTGCATGCTGTCCCCACAACCCTGCTCCCTGACCTCAGGCCCTGTACCCCCTACCCTCTCAGGTGCTACAGGTGGCCGGCTGCTGCCGAGTAGGGCACCAGTAGGGCGGGCGAGAAGTCAGGGTGGAGATTCCAGAGGCACCTACTGATGAAGCCACAGTATGATAACTAAATAACAGTGTGAAGAAAAACCACACTGTCCATGGGAGAGGACAGCATTGTTTTTCTACCTCTGCAGCCATCCCGAGTGACCAGACTGTCACTGTAGCACATGGCCCCAGCCCTGAACCCCTGGATGGCCCAAGGGGACAGCATCCAGCTGTGAAAGTTGCCTAACCTCACAGGCACCAGCGGGCCTTGGAAGAGCCCAGAGCCCCAAGTCTCCCACACACCAAGAAACAGCGCAGGCCCGGGAGGCCCCCCTGCACTCAGCGGCACCCCTGGGCTTCAGTCATGAGCATGGTGCACAGCCCTACTTTTCCTTTCAAACACACGCACTAGAGGTAGATGACTGCCAGGGCCATGATCTCGACCGAGGCTGCTGCCCCCAGAAAGCACTACGCCAAACCTTTATCAATTCTATTTTGAGACAGGGTCTCTCCAAAGAGACCTGTTGCTATGTTACCCTGGCTAAGAAAGTTGTACGGCCAGAAATCACAGGATGAAAGGCCTATCTTCCCACCTGAACTCAAGTCCACACCTTCATACCATGTCCAAGAGTCTACAAAACCCCAGCAATAGAAAGTACTCACTTCCTACTTTTAGAACCTGAGAAAAATACCTCTATATTTAAAGTTGAATATAAAGCAGAAAAACAAAACAATTGCAACAAAGGATAAATGATTTTTGCTTTTTTACTCAGGAAGGCTGCACTTTACAAAACAACAGTTAAATTTTACTAAAATCAACACCAATCTGGAGCTGCATTATGAAACTACAAATACTGCTCCTTACACCCTTACTTGGGCTCCGTAGGAGTGGCGCCCCCAACACCAACCCAAGGTGATGTCACCACGCACATGGCAGAGGAGCCTGCACTGCACAGCCGAGCTCTGAATGGAGCTGCTTGAATTACTAGAAGCACCCATTCCTTGTACACACACAACCCTCCTCCCATGGTCATGAGCCTCACAGAACACTGTTCCCTCACCACTGCCTTCCACAGCCCGACGCGCTCTGATGACACACAGGACAAGATGATGAAAACCGAACTTCACTAATTCTTCCTTGGGCCCTGGGTCTAACCAGCCCAGTCCTGTCCATGAGTCTGCAGGAAGCGCCTCCCACCAGGCAGGCTCTCTCACACACCCCACACAACAGGACTGGGGGTCCCTCCTCTCCGGGACCAGGAGACAGTGCCCAAGGACAGGCACAGAGCAGTTCTCTTACCTCTGCTTCGGAGCATCGTGAGCTTCCCAATTTACCTGTAAGAAAAATACAAAAAGTTACTTTCACAAGCGTGCAGCACTTTTGCTCACCAATAGGTACGTCTGCGTTACTCTGGCCATGGTCCATAGATCTATGGAAAACAAATCTGAACAGAAGAGGGAGGTCTGAGGAAAGCTACACTTAGAGTCCAGAGAAAAACCACAAAGAAAACATGGAAGATTATGATTTGCTGTGCTAAGACGCACATACATACCAAGTAAGCAGAGGAAAAATACTTCTAAAGCCGTGTTCGCTTTAAGTACCTTAACATAGCAGTTTAGATGTATTTTAAGAAACCTTGAAGACTCAGGCTTTGCCCCAAATCTATTTCCATTTTAAAGGCAGAGTGATCATTTCAATGAAATCAGAAACGTTTCAGCACTATTAAGGTATACAATTAATTCAGTAATTGTCCCAAGGAAGGGCTTCCTACATAACAGCTGGACCGAATAGCGCCCAGCAGCCCACCTGGGCACCTTCACCCCAAGACACTTCTGAGCAGCACACTGTGCCCACTCCTTTCACAGGGCAACTACAACACTCTACCAGGGTGAAGGCATATCTGAAAGGAGATTCATCTACTAAATAGCAGCTCTGACAGGCGAAGCCGCCCACTGGGCACAGGGCATGCGGCTCCTGGCCCCTCGCTGCACACAGGCCTGTGCGCTGTTCTGTCGGTCTGCAGCTTTTCCTGCAACACCTCGTGGATTTGTACGTCTCAGAGACTGCAGCAACGTCAGCAAAGACAAGCACAGGGGATGCTGCCTGTGTGCCCACCCCTTCTTAAAAAGAAAAAAGCTGACATCTACAATTTCTTATCACCTAAGGATCCCCACACACAACACTGGCTGAAGCCAAGGCCTGAAAAGGGGGAGCCCTGCATGCTGAGAATTAAAATAAACCAGGTGTGGTGGCTCACACCTGTATTCCTAGCACTTAGGAGGCTGAGGCAGGAGGGTTGCCATAAGTTCAAAGCCAGCCTGGGCTACATAGTGAGTTCAAGGCCAGCCTGAACTATATAATAAGACCCTGTCCAAAAA